GTGTGTGTGTGTGTGTGTGTGTGTGTGTGTGTGTGCGCGCGCGCGTGTGTGTATGCGTGCATGTGTATGCAAGCGTACTTATTTACTTATTATGTATCCTCTCTCTCCTTATTATTCATTCTTTCTTCTGCTCATTCGTGCGAACTTTAATTTTTACCCCTCCCATCCCATATTTACTGATCAGGCACTCATACAATCACACACGACACGTGTTCCTCCTTGGTAGATGTAAACACACATATTGTTATAGTTTGGAACAAAAACAACACAAAACAAAACCTTAAGTACTCACAAGACAACATATTAATAGAAACATGCATTTCTTGTAGCAAGGAAACAAAAAATTCTCCCCATGGTATCGAAATTGTTCGGTTTTAAAATGTTAGGTTCTTACCAACTTTAAGTTACTGTTTGTGTTTTTATTTATTTGTTCGTACGTTTGTTCTTTTGTTTGTTTGTTTGTCTGTTTGCCTGTTTGTCTGTTTGTTCGTCTGTTCGTCTGTTGGTTTGTTGGTTTGTTGATTTGTTGGTTGATTTGTTGACTTGTTGGTTGGTTGGTTCGTTTGTTGGTTGGTTTGTTGATTTGTTTGTTTGTTTGTTTGTTTGATTGGTTAGTTGTTTGTTTGTTGGTTGGTTTGTTGGCTTGCAGATTTGATGGTTTGTTGGGTTTTTTGTTTGTGCAAGTCTTACTTTCTCCTCCTGCCAAATATAGCCGTTATCGTGCCGAGACTTCGTAAATTACAACGCCACTCAACCCCCTTTTCCCCCTCCTTTCACAGTCAGCCACGAGCACTTTTAATTAACAAACATAAGAATTAATATTTCAAAAGAGAAATTGTGAGTTATGCGGTGCTCAGACAGTTGCTGATCGCCGTGTCTCGTGACTGAATTATTCATACAACACGTGCAACAAAAAGTTCAGACACTGTTTCATAGTCTCAATTATTATTAGATTGTTTCATTTTCCATTCTGATTGGAATGGGGGGGTTTTTCTTATGAAAACACAACGAGAAGTGCATTCTTATCATTACAATTGACGTAGTTGTTGATGATGTTGTTGTTGATGATGTTGTTGTTGCTTTAATTATTCCTGCTTCTGCTAATGCTGTGGTCATACGTACAATAATGAGCAATTCATTAATGTAATATTAGTTGTTGTAATATTGTTATCATTATTGTAATAATGATATCCATTGTTATTAGTATCATTATCTTTTATAATTAGTATTATTTATAACTTTTGTTCTTGTATTATTATTATTACTATTATTATTATTATTACTATTA